CACAATAAAAATAAATCTCAAAAAAGTTTGCATAACCTGATTAAGGGTATCTACAAAAGCCTCCTGCTAATATCACATTTAATGGTGAAAACTTGAATACTTGTCCCTTTGGAATTTGTAACTAACTCCTATTAAACACCATACTAGAAATTGTAGCCAGTGCAAAAAGGAAAAATAGATACTGTCTTTGTAGATTTACGTGATTGATTATCTGTATAAAAAATTCCATTAACTCTACCAAAAAAAAATTTAAATTCCTGAAACAAAAATGAGTTTAGCAAGTTTGCAGGATATAAAACCAATATACAAAATATACTAAGTCTGTCTTATTATTTACTACTGATACCAGTCAGTTGAAAATTAAGAAAACAGTACCGTTTCTAAAAAGCTTCTTACAAGAATATGCACCATCCATAAACTAAAAATGTGTAGAACACTGATTAAAAGATTTAGAGACCTAAATAAAGACATGCACTGTGTATATGTATTAATAGACTCTGTAACACTAAAATATCAGTTCTTCAGAATTGATTTGTATAGCTGAACACAATTCTCATCAAAATCCCTGTCGTACTTTTGTAAATATTAAGAAACTAAATCTAGAACTTAATGGTAAGTAAATAATACTGTTAAAGAATGAAGATGGAAGATGGAGACTTACTATAAAACTTCAGTAATCAAGATAATGTGATATTGACAAATTGGTACAGGTCAATGGAACAAAATAAATAGCCCAAGAGATTAGATTTGTGTAAACATGGTTAATTGCTCTCTGACATATACACAGCAGTTAGTGGAGTTAGGGTAATCTTCAGCAGATGGGGATGGAACAATATAAGTCTGCAGTTTTAAAAAATGCACTTTGACATTTGGAAAGTACCTCACACAAAACCTAAATATATATTATAACCATAAACGTTAAATTGTAAGTATCTAGGAGAAAATCTTTTCTTCCTTTTCCCCCAATGCTGGGGATCTAACTTGACCTGCTCTGTGCTAGCTAGGTATCTACCACTGAGCTTTACCCCAAGCTTCAGAAAAAAAAAAAAATGACTTTGGGTTAGACAGTTCTTAGATAGGACACCAAAGAACTATCCATAAGTGAAAAATGTGTGTATGTGCGTGCACGCATAAATTGGACTCATCAAAATAAAAAGCTTTTCCCTGTGAAGGATGTTATTGAGTGAAAAGCCACTGGGTGGGAAAAGGCTTTTGCAAATCACCGTTTTTTCTGGAAGACTTCTTTTTTCCAGAACTGAAACTCAATAGTATGCAAACAATCCAATTCTCTTAAAATATTTTTTAGTTGTAGATGAACATAACACCTTTATTTTTATGTGGTGCTGAGAATTGAACCCAGTGCTTCACATATGCGAGGCAAGCGTTCAACCACTGAGCCATAGCCCTAGCCCCAACAACCTAATTTAAAAATTTTTTTATTCTAATTTGTTATACATGACAGCAGAATGCATTACAATTCATATTCCACATATAGAGCACATTTTTTCCATATTTCTGGTCAACAACCCAATTTTTAAGTGGGAAAATTTTATTAGACAATTCAAATAACATTTAGTCATTACAAAAATGCAAATTAAGACCACAGTGAGATAGTAGTATATTACAATGATATACTGCCATTAAAACTGATTATTTTAAAAAAAATAATACCAGACCAGACTTGGTCGCTCTGGAGGTTGAGGCAGGAGGCTTGCTTTAAGAATTAACGACTAATCATGGAAACAGTGACACCACCTTCCACCAAAAAAAATAAAAGAAAGAAAAAATGCTGAATCCTGGAAACCTAAAGAGTAACTGTAACTCTGATACATTCCTAGTGGGAATGCCTGTAACTGATACATTCCTCGTGGGAATGCAAAATGATATACCACTCTGGAAAACATCATGGTAATTTACTATAAAATTGCCATGTGACTCTGTTTTTTTCTGAATGTGTACCCAGGAGAAATGAAAGTGGTTCATATTATAAACAAGCAAATATTTATAGCAGTTTTGTCCATAATAATCAAAAGCAAAGAAAGGCTCAGGTTTCTTCCAATAGACTCAGGCATATCCAGACAGTATAATCTTTTCAGCATTAAAAAGGGACATTCTATTGACAAATGCAATACTCTCAAACAAATCATGCTAAAAAAGCTATGTACTATATGACTTTATATATAAAGTTCTGGGAAAAGTCACACTATAGGACAGACACTTGCAAAGTAGCAAGCAACTTGACAGATTTTCCCTGGAGGCAAGGGTGGTTCAGGGAACATTTCTTGAGATGTTAGCAAGAAGTGAGTAATGGAAACTCTTAATCTGCTTTAGGAGCATAAATTGCTATAGTCATTTGTCAGCATACTCTGTTAAAGCTGAAAGGTGATGTTAAAACATAGTAAGTACAATTCTGGATAGATACCCAAATGAAATCATCATTTATATGTGTAATGAGAATACAAGAATATTTGCAGCAGTATTAATAAATTTTAAAAGTGAAAGCAACTAGAATCCCATAAAAAGATGGAAAGTGGTTTATAAGTGATAAAAAGTTTTAAAATAATACTATATATTTTTTAGATTCATAAACATTAAAATATAATTACAAATCAAACTAAAGATACATAGGAAGGGTAATGGGAACACAGGCTTTAATCGAATCAGCAATACTTTTTTATATTTGACAATATTTAATATTTAGATATTTATTTCCATGAAATTAAATGATATGTTTTATAACTCCATATTCCTCTTTATTGAAACATTTTGTGAAAGATAATTCCACATTCACAGATATTTTAGGAGTGTTATCTGGATTATTGACTAGTAGAGATTGTGTTACTTTTCATTAATTTTTAAGTAAAAAAGTTATACACAGTTATAAAAAATTACTTCAATCCTTTTTTAAAAATTGTTAAACTTGGCGGGGGTGGGGGGCCTGGAGTTGTGGCTCAGTGGTAGAGCACTTGCCTACTGCATGTGAGGCACTATTTCAATGCTCAATACCACATTAAAAAAACAAAGGTATTGTGTCCATCTACAATTTAAAAAAAAATTTTTTTTTTAATTGTTAAACACAGGGCTGGGGCTGTAGCTCAATGGCAGAGCGCTTGGCTAACACATGTGAGGCACTGGGTTCAATCCTTAGCACCACATGAAATAAATAAATATGTTGTCCATCTACAAATACAAATAATAAAAATAAATAAAATGTTATATCAGACATTAAAAAACAATGTTAAACACAATGAGCAAACACCTGGTTTTATTTAAGAAATTTAAAGAAAAAAGGCCATCATAAGCACTGAATACTTGAAATAGTATAAACTAGTTAATGAGTGATATTTAAGAAAAATATGCCACTTAAGATTATATTTTAGTAAAAGTACAATGTAAATAATTCAGACATCTTGGTAATTTAGCTGATATTTAGCTTTGCCAGTTCAAAATTACACAAAGCTAACTAACTTACTACTTGCTCTGAGCGCGTTATATTGAATATAACTGAGCATATGGTCCTCTGATCAGAAGACCTTAAAATCTAAAGGAGGAGATAATTATAGTATTAGGGATACCCACCACCATGGAACTATGAGCAGGGTGATTTGGTTATATAAATAATGGTGAAATCTATAAGATCTAATGATAACATTTAAGAAAATGCAATTTGTATGTTAAAATACATGCATGAAAATAAGTTTTAGAATGGAAAACCTATTACATAACTAAATGTCTGACATTCTCATGGAAGTGGCAAACTGGTCATTTCAAATAAACCAAACTTGGTCAAAATTTGAGCTACATTTTAATTCTGCTTTTAAATTTCATGCCCTCAAAGTAGTTGAGGTAAAAATATGTGACAAAACTTTTTGTTTTATTAAGCCCTTTAAGTAAAAGGGTAGGGGTGACTTACCACAACCTCAGGAATAATAACTAGAAAATGTGTACTCATTAGGTATCTTCAGTGGAAATTTAGGGGAAATCTTTATTCTTTACTCATTGAATTTTTATTTTAATTTTAGAGTGACACATGAGTATCTACAGTCAAGAGGGTGAGAGGAGTGTGGGTGTGGGTGTGCGGGTATGTGTGTGTGCATGTGTGCACATACACATGTGTGAAGCAACCTATGAAGTGAGAAGAAGACACTTTAGACTTAGACTAACCTGGGTTCAAATCCTTGCTCTGAATAACCCTGGGCAAGTTCCTGAGTCTCTTCATAAATAATGATACCTACCTCATGAACCTCTTCTAAAGATTAATGCTTTGCCTTTTTAAGCCAAAGATGTATAAAGATGTAAAAGAAATATTCAAACAAGAATGAGCCAAGTGTATTTTAAGAAAACTTGGTGCCAGTTTTCAAACTCCCTGTAAAATTTTAATAAAGAAGATGCTAAAGGTGTTACTTTGAAAACACAGTTAATATCATCCAGTCCAAAAAATATAGAGCGTTTTAAGGGGTGGAATGTTAAAACATCAATTAAGTGTGCAACAGTAGAGTAGTGGGTAAGTGAATGGTAATACATTGTAGGAATGAGCATTGTTTTCAAGAGTGTAGATGATATTCTGATGGGTTATAACAAAACTAGGATACATATATCTTCTATTTCCTGTGATTAAACTTAAGTATTAAAATGTACAGGAAAACCGGAAGAAAAATATTAATCACATTTTTAGAAAAATATAACCTTTGAATGATTTATTTCCTCTACCTATCAGTACCATGAGATTGTTTTATAATGAAGAAACTCGTAACACAGTTAAAGCCTCTTGTTGCAAAACTTAACTTTGTAGAGAAAACAAACTACAGTTTCCTTAATGCTTGGTTCTATTATTAACACAACCAAAGTAACAGACCATTGGTCTTAGACTTTTCAATTAGCTATTAGCCTTATATCTGTTTTTCTGTCATAATTCAGTCTAACATGTTGACTGTGGATAAAAGAAGTAGAAAAAAATACTATTTTTAAAGCAGTTTTTTTTCTTTGTTTTAATGTTACAGATTTATTTGCGGTTCCTAGATTATCAAATGGAGCACTCAAATGAATGCAAGAGAAACTTTGTTGCAGTGTATGATGGAAGCAGTGCTATTGAAAATCTGAAGGCCAAGTTTTGCAGCACTGTGGCCAATGATGTAATGCTTAAAACAGGAGTTGGAGTGATAAGAATGTGGGCAGATGAAGGTAGTCGGCTTAGCAGATTTAGAATGCTGTTTACTTCCTTTGTGGAACGTAAGTAAATAATTCCTATAGCATTGAGATCTTTTACGTATTTTTCACTTGTTCATGCGACACTATTTTTACTGTTTTTCACTTGTTCATGCGGCATTTACTTTTGAAAGTGTGTAGAAATGATTATCTCAGTCCCTGTTCTCAAGAAATAGACCATTATGGGTAAAAATACTATGTTCATATATAAATTACAACACTATCTCACTATAAAGTTGTAAAAACTATAGGGATTGCAGAAAGTATAGACTTTCCTTTCTCTCAAGAAAGATCTCAGTAGCCAAACTATGGAACCAACCTAGGTAGGTGTCCATCAGTTGATGAATGGATAAAGAAAATGTAGTATTTATACACAATTAAGTTTTATGCAGCTGTAAAGAAGAATGACATTATGTCATGTGCTTGAAAATGGATGAAATTTGAGAACATTGTGTTAAATTTCTTTTAACATTATGTTAAATGAAATATGCCACAAGTGGAAGTTTTCTTTCATATGTGGAAGCCACAGAGGAAAAAGGAAGAGAAAAGTAGGGTTGGGGGAGATAAAATCTCATGAAAATCTAAGGGAGATCAGAAGAGTAGAGGAAAGGGACCAGGGGAAGGAAGGAGGGCAGGGAAAGAGCAAATACTGGGGAGTGATGTTGGCCAAATTATTGTTATATTGTGTGCATGCACAAATATATAACACATCCCACTGTTATGCACAACTACAATGCACCAATTAAAAATATGGAAAGAAAAAAAGACTTGAACTTTAAAAATAATTGTCAGTAGAATTAATTCAGCTTAGGAACTAATTATCCATCAAAGACCTTGGTCATCAAAGATTCAGATATGGTGTTAATGTTTTCTTTTATTATTTTTAAGAGCTTTATAGTTAAACACAATGGTTGGGTTAACCCCTGCAATCTCATACATGCATGGAAATCAGTATCAGTTCATGATCCCCCTTATCCTTCCCACTCTCCCACTCACCCTCTTCTCTAATACATTTCCTTTTGCTCATCAATTAATTTGTATTTGATTGGTTCTTCTTTTTTTTAAAGAGAGAGGGAGGGAGAGAGAGAGAATTTTAATATTTATTTTTTAGTAGTATTTAGCGGACACAACATCTTTGTTTGTATGTGGTGCTGAGGATCGAACCTGGGCCCCGCACGCATGCCAGGCAAGCACACTACCGCTTGAGCCACATCCCCAGCCCTTGATTGGTTATTTATGTTACCTTTCTTCCCCTTTTCCTTTATTTTACTCAGGCTTCTGTATCTGAGAGAAAACATTTGACCTTTGAGTTTCTGAGTTTGGCTAATTTCACTTAGCATGATATTCTCCATTTCCATCCATTTATCAGCAAATGCCATATTTTCATTCTTTTTTATGGCTGAGAAAACACCATTTTGTATGAGTATCACAATTTCTTAATCCATTCATTTATTGACAGGCAACTGGATTGATTCCATAATTTAGCTATTGCAAACTGTGCTGCTGTAAACATTGCTGTAGCTGTGTCACTGTAGTATACCAATTTTAGATCTTTGGGGAAAATATCCTGGAGTGGGATAGCTGGGTTACATGGTGGTTCCATCCCTAGTTTTTTGAGGAATCTCCATACTACTTTCCAGATTGGTTGTACTAGTCTATAGTCCTACCAGTATGTACAAGTGTACCTTTTTCCCCACAATCTCATCAGCATTTTCTAATGTTTGTATTTTTGTTCATTGCCATTCTAACTGGAGTGAAATGAAATCTTAGTGTGGTTTTGATTTGCACTTCCTTGATTGCAGGAGATGTTGAGCATTTTCTCATATTATTGGCCATATATTTGTGTTTCTTTTGAGAAGTTTCTTTTTAGTTATTTGACTCATGTATTGATTGGGTTATTTGGTTTTGTTGTTGTTGTTGGTAAATATTTTGAGTTCTTTGTATATTCTGGATATTAATCCCCTATTGGAGGAGTAGCTGGCTAAGATTTTCTCCTGATCTGAAGGCTTTTTCTTCCCATTCTTAATTATTTCCTTTGTTATGCAGAAGCTTTTCAGTTTGGCATCCCACTTGTTGATTCATGATTTTATTTCTTATACTTTGTGGTTCTATATATTGGAGTACTGACCCTATGTTTTCTTCTAAAGTTGTAAAATTTCTGGTCTAATTTCCATGTCTTTGATCCAGTTCAGTTTGTGAGTTTTGTGCAGGGTAAGAAGGGTCTAATTTCATTTTTCTACATACAGCTATTCATTTTCCTAGCACCACTTGTTAAAAATGCTGTCTTTTCTCAAAGATATATTTTGACACCATTGCAAATATCAGACAGCCATAGATATGTGGATTTGTCTGTGTGTCTTCTATTCCATTCAGTGTCATGTCTGTTTTGATACCAATACCATGCTGTTTTTGTTCCTATAGCTCTGTGGTATAATTTCAAATCAGGTATTGTGATGCCTCCTACTTCACTTTTCTTGCTTAGTATTGCTTTGGATATTCTTGATCTCTTCCAAATGAATTTGAGAATTGTTTTTTCTAATTGTATGAAAATATGTCATTGGTATTTTGATGGGGATTTCATTGAATTTGTATATTGCTTTTGGTAGTATGCCCATTTTGACAATATTAATTCTATCTGTCCAAGAACATAGGACGTCTTTCCATCTTCTAAGGTCTTTTCAATTTCTTTCTTCAGCATTGTATAGTTTTCATTTTAGAGCTCTTTTACCTCCTTGGTTAGATTAATTCCCAAGTATTTAAAGTTTTTAGAGGTTTTTGTGAATGATTTCTTCCTCTGCTAAATCATTGTTGAATTATTGGAAAGCTATTGATCTTGTATCTTGCTTGTTTGCTAATAAACTCATTTATAAGTTCTGAAGTCTTCTGGCAGAGTTTTTTAAGTTTCCTTGTGTTTAAGTCAGCTTTTTAACTGCTGTGACTAAAGGATCTGACCAACACAACTGTAGGGGAGGAAAAGTTTATTTGAGGACTCATGGTTTCAGAGGTCTTAGTTCAGAGAAAGCTGACTTCATTCCTCGGGGCTCAATGTGAGGCTGAACATCATGGCAGGAGAGGGTGGTGGAATAAAGCAGCTCACATCATAGTGATCACGAAGCAGAGATCACAAATATATACGCCAAAACCACATCCCAATTCCCACCTCCTCCAGCCACACCCTACCACCTCAGTTAATCCCATTCAGGATTAACTCACTGATTAGGATAAGGCTATAACCCAATCATTTCTCCTCCAAACCTTCTTACATTGTCTCACGTGAGCTTTCCAAAGACACTACATCTAAACCATAATACCTAGATATAGGATCATGTTTTTGGCAAACAGAGACAGTTTGACTTCTTTTCCTATTTGTATCCCCTTGATTTCCTTTTTTTGCCTGTTCACTCTGGCCAGTGTTTTGAGGACCATATTGAATAGGAGTGATGAGAGCGGACACCTTGTCTTGCTCCTGAATTTAAAGGAAATGCTTTTAGTTCTTCTCCATTTAGTATCATGTTGGCTTTGGCTTTGTCATAAATGGCCTTTACAATGTTAAGGTGGTAGGTTCATTGAGTCCCTAGCTTCTCCAGCATTTTTAACATGAATAAGTGTTGGATTTTATCAGAGGCAATTTCTGCATCTGTTGAGATGATGTGTGATTTTTGTCCTTAATTCTGCTTAAGTTATGAATTACATTTGATGAATTACATTTATTGATGTAATTCAATGTTGAACCAACCTTACATTTCTAGAATGAAACACACTTGGTCATTTTTTTATATTTATTTAGTTGTAGATGAACACACAGTATCTTTATTTTTATGTAGTGCTGAGGATCAAACCAGTGCCTCACACATGTGAGGCAAGCACTTCACCACTGAGCTACAGCCCCAGCCCCACATTTGGTCATTTTGATGTGTACTGAATGGGGTTTGTTAACATTTTCTTAAAGATTTTTGCACCTGCATTCATTAGGTTATTGGTTTGTAGTTTTCTTTCCTTGATGTGTCTTTGTCTGATTTTTGTATTAGGGTTATACTGACTGGCTTCGTAAAGTGTTCATTTGCTTTGAATTTTGTGGAATAATTTGAGAAAAACTGATGTTCATTCTTCTATAAAGGTCTGGAAGAACTCAGCTGAGAGTTTATCAGATCCCGGGCTTTTCTTTTTTGGAAAGCTTTTAATTGATGTTTCAATTTCATTACTTGATATTGGTCTGTTTAGGTTTTCTATATCTTCCTGATTCCTTTTGGGCAGCTCATATATGTGTTGAAATTTGTCAGTGTCTTCCAGATTTTTCAATTTATTGGAATATAAAATTTTTTAAATAGTTTCTGATAATCTTCTGGATTTCAGAGGGGTCTGGTCATATCTCCTTTTGTCATCTCTGATCTTATTGATTTGCATCTTCCCACTCTTTCTTTTGGTTAGTGTGGCTGTCAATCTTATTTATCTTTTCAAAGAATCAACTCTTCATTGTACTGTTTTCTTATTCTCAATTTCATTAATTCTGACTCTCATCTTAATTATTTCCTGTCTTCTACTGGTTTGGGGATTATTCATTCTTCTTCTAAGGTCTTGAAATGGAGCATAAGCTTATTTGAGATCTCTCTGATTTTTTAACTTTAGACACTCAGTGCTACAAGTTTTACTGTTAGAATAGCTTTCATACTGTCCCAGAGATTTTTGATATGTTTCTCACCTTTCGTTTCTAAGAATTTTTGATTTCTATTCTCATTTCTTCTTTTATCCATTCTTCATTTAAGAAAGTATTGTTCATGTGCTTATGTGGTTTCTATTATTTTTACTGTTGATTTCTAGCTTCATTCCATTATAGGACACATGGGTTCATATCAGGGTTTTATTGTTGTTATATTTGCTAAGATTTGCTTTGTGGCCTACAATATATTCTATTTTGTAAAAAGTTTCATGCACAGTTGCAAGGGTAAGTTCAGCTGTTTAGGGGTGGAATATCCTGTAGATATCTGATAGGTTAATTTGATTTGTAGTGTTGTTTATGTTGGAGA